TTTCTGACATTTCCTAAACACAAGTCAGTTTTTTCTCACTGCACCGGTAGATCTCTCACTTATTCTGTCACTTATTTTTATTATTGAAGTAAAAAAATAAATAAATTGGTGCAGTAAGGCGAAATACACTCATATGAAATATACATTCCTCTTTAAAAATATGTAGTGTTGCTTTTCAAGTAAATGTATTTTGTTTGAAGTATTATATTTATGCATTTTACTGGAAAGCAAGCCTAATAGACATCATTTTTGCCATGCATCTCTTGATGGTTTGATCCTAATGAATCAATAAGAGGTTAAATGCAAACAGAGAATGCACACACAGATACAGTAGTGTGAATAGTCCAGGACTAGCATGCAGTGTGTAGTTCTGATGTAATGCGTCGGCTGCATGTAGTGATGGCTGAGAGCGCCCTCTGCTGCAGGATGAGAGAATCACAGCTCTGCTTCACTCAATCTGTGACTCACGAGTCCAGTGTTTCGGCTCTCAGAGTTCAATACGAGCGCAGACGAGAGAATCAGGAGCATGCATTGGTGAAAATGGTCAGTCTGGAGGGCGTCTGTATTGATGCAGGAATCAACGGCCTCTCCAGGTTTTGCTGTTGCTGACACTCGTCACTGCTTTGACAGGAAATTGCATCTTTCACAATTATCGGCGGGACAAAGCGACCGTTTCTATGGAAATGAGGGCAGAGTATTGCTTCTAATGATGGCTTGTCAAACGCTGCATAGGCCAGTTTCCGTTCCACATAACCACTGGGACGTTTTCAAGACAGAAAGAGCCGAGGTTGGAAGAAGACGTGAGGAGTGACGGCATGAACAGAGAAGAGATGTTTCTGATTTCTAGACGTGATCCGTAATGAAGTGAGGAAAGGCCGGATCGATCTGCTGCATGTGTTCTCATAGACTCACGTTCCTCTGCTTTAGAAACACACAGATCTGACGCTGCATCTGTTTCAGTGCTGGTTATTCCTCTGTCTGGTATATATATAGTGGGAATAAAAAAATGATATATATAATATTGATATTACTTTATTATAAATTAGTGTTAATTTTATTTAGTTAAATTTCCAGCAAAAATAAATATTACATATATGTTGAATAATAATAATAATAATGATAATAATAATAATTTGGTGAATTTCCAGCAAAAATAGAGTTATATTACTACTACTACTGCTAATATTAATAATAATAATAATTTACTTTAATATTAATAAATTGTTTGTTTGACTTTCCAACATATATACAAATATAATTGTAGTTTATACACATAATAAAAAATGAATAATAATAATAATTATTATTATTATTTATTACATTAATATTAATAAATTGTTTGTTTGACTTTCCAACATATATACAAATATAATTGTAGTTTATACACATAATAAAAAATGAATAATAATAATAATTATTATTATTATTATTATTTATTACATTAATATTAATAAAATTGTTTGTTTGACTTTCCAGCAAATATACAAATATAAATGTAGTTTATGCAAATAATAATAAAAATAATTAATAAGAATTTTATTTGGTTGAATTTCCAGCAAATATAAATGTAGTAAGTAATTTTCCAGCAAATATAAATGTGATTCATACAGCAAAATACTTGGTATTTTCTGGTTTGATGACTTTCTCTTTTTATTTGGATCTTGGTGGGCAGAAGACATGATGATTCATGCGTGATTCATATCAAATGAAGGAATCAGTCAGACTTCAGTGCGAAAACTTCTCACAATGAAAGACTTGAGTTCAAATCTAAAGACTCAAAACCGTCAAAGTAATGTTATAAAGCAGATTCAGACTGTTGTTTTCAGATTCAGACGCTGTTGTAAATGATCTGATGTTTTTGTAGATGATCTGATCCATTAGCAGATGTTCTGGTTCAGTTTGTGCTTGATATTCAAACCATTTTATTAACCAGTGACTTTGCTGCTGACCTTCAGTGATCCAATTCAATCATACTAATAATCAAAACGGGCACATTTGTGAACGTGAATTTACATTAACTTCAGCCTGAGGCGAATCCAATCCACTTTTGGTGTGAAAGGGCTTTTACGTTCGTAAAAGAGGATATTTTTTATATTTAAAACAAGCAAGCAAGCCCTGCCCAGATTTTAAAAGTAACATAACACATTACTTTGCATAAAAAAGTAACTAATTAACCTAATTAGTTACTTTTTAGGGAGTAGCGCAATTTTGTAATGCATTACTTTCAAAAGTAACTTTCCCCAACGCTGCGCTACAGTAATGAAGTCTTGAGTTATTATTTTAAAGCGGAGAGTTCCGGAGCTTGATTCTGATTGGCTGAGCCGCGTTCGAAGCTGTTGTAAATGACGCTACAAAGTAACACACTCCTTTGTTAGGGTTCGGTATTGGCCGATACCGATACCGATCCAATACCAGTGAAGTTTTTATCACTGTAGAATTGCTATATCTCTGTGTGTGGAACTGATAATCATTCTTTCACAGTCTACTAAATGCAGACTACTTAATTATACAGAAAAATAAATATGAAAAAATATATATGTATATTCATAATCTATGATAAAAATATATCATATATCAAGTGGATAATTCGGCAGCAAAAGTTATTCTAGAAAAATCAGTGCACAATAATTTTAGAAATCCAAGCATTTAGTGAAAAAACGATATTTTGTGGGGAACAAATAAAAGTGTTGCACTAAATATGATAAAATGTTACACATTGCTATTTGTATTATTGTAAAATCCATTCATTAAAAACATTCATGAATGTATTTATATATAAGTATATACTATACAATTAAAATACATTTCTTTTAAATGTATAGCATATTTTTTAATAAGGCAACAACATATGATAGATTCGATAGAACAAAACAAATACAGTGCGGCACGAAGCGCTTACAATATGCGCATCCGGTGTGCAAAGGGAAGAGAAATTGATGCGTAGTGTATTATATCTGTGCAACAGTTATTGAGCCTTTCTTTTAACACTTTTACATTTCAGTTACTGTGCGCGTTAAAAACTATTGATAGTCTTTTCTACGCCTGTGTTTTGTTCTCACAGACACCCGGTAGCAAGTAACAAAACATTAAACTCCGGCAAGAAGATAAAGTCCTTTTTGCAAAATCATAGACATGCATTTACAAATCCAGTATAATGGGAACACAGAATGATCTCGGAGAGAGCTTTACCGAGCTGACTGCTGTAACCGAACGCGACCGGGGTTTAAAGGCTGAACGAATGACTGACAGCCACAGCGGAGAAAAGTTGAACCACTGACGGCAGATGGACAATTCTGACGATGTCTTTCATGCTTTTCTGAACCCTCACAGTGTTCATTACTTGGCAGTCAATGGGACAGTCACAAGCCTCCCGGGCTTCATCCAAAATATCTTAAATTGTGTTCCGAAACAAACAAAGCTTTTACGGGTTTGGAACGACGTGGGGGTGAGTGATTAATGATAAAATTTTACGGGCTTCATCCAAAATATCTTAAATTGTGTTCCGAAACAAACAAAGCTTTTACGGGTTTGGAACGACGTGGGGGTAAGTGATTAATGATAAAATTTTAATTTTGGGGTGGAGTAACCCTTTAAGCTATCGTATGGCTTCTCAGAACTAACAGAGAATGCTACGCACAATCTCGGATATGGATCGGCCCTCTCTGACCGATACCCGATCCGACGAAAAATTGCAGTATCGGAGCCGATACCCGATATGAATATCGGATCGGCGCATCCCTACTAACAACGGCCCTTAGCTGTTATAAACTCACTGTAAAACAAGGCTTCTTGGGGCCTATTGCTTTAATATCAGTGAGGACGGATATTGGACCGCAGATAGAATCTCCTCCTAATTTGACGCAGCTGTAATAAAAGTGCTGTAACTCAGTCTGTGTGTGTGTGTGTGTGTGTGTGTGTGTGTGTGTCTCTCCAGCGGCCCCCAGCACAGACGACGTGGCTCTGTACGTGGGCATCGTCATCGCCGTCATCATGTGTTTGGTCATTTCCGTCATCGTGGCACTGTTCGTCTATCGGAAGAACCAGCGAGACTTTGACTCGGACATCATGGATTCGTCGGCGCTCAACGGAGGATTCCAGCCGGTCAACATCAAGACGGCGCGCACAGGTACGAGAGCGGGATCTTACTCCTCTTATTACTAATTAACTGCTTATTAGCATGCATATTACTAGCATATTGGCTGTTTATAAAGCACATATTAATGTCTTATTCTGCATGACCGTATTTTAGATCCCTTAGTCCACCTCATTCCTAAACGTAACTATTAATAAGCAGCAAATTAGAAGTTTATTGAGAGAAAGCCTTTAGTGAATAGTGAATATGTGTTCCCTGTACTAAAGTGTTACCAGCCTGGAACTGTCATAGTCAAGGTTTTTTTGTTGTTTTTTGCTAATTAATTTCATTGGCTAGAAATCAGCCTTTTAAGATTGTAAAGTTATCCAACTAGTCAATTCATTATTATTATTATTAGTAGTAGTAGTAGTCAAATTATTATTTTTTTAAATATTTTTTGAACAGTAGTATTCACACATTAAAAAATATTAATTTGACAAATAATGATAATAATAAAAATAATAATAATGTAAGTAGTCATCCAACTAGTCAATTAATTATTAAGTAGTCATCCAACTAGTCAATTAATTATTATTATTATGTCAAATTATATTTTTTTATATTTCTAGAACTGTAGTGTTACATATTAAAAAGTAATAATTTTACTAATAATAATAAGTAGTCATTGAACTAGTCAATTTATTATTATGATGTAATTTTTTATTTATAGAACAGTTTTGTTTATATAAAAAATAATAATTTTACCAATAATAATAAAAATTAAAATATAATTTTTAAAATACTTTTTTCACCAAGGATGAATTAAATCGATCAAAAGTGACAGTAAAGACATTTATAATGTTACAAAAGATGTCTGTTTCAAATAAGCACTTTTATTTTGTACTTTCTATTCATTTGTGAATCCTGAAAAATTTAATGTATCACGGTTTCCACAAAAATATCGTGCAGCACAACTGTTTTCAACATTGATAATAATCAGAAATGTTTCTTGAGCAGCAGATCAGCATATTATACTGATTTCTGAAGATCATGTGACACTGAAGACTGGAGGAATTATGCTGAAAATACAGCTGCGCATCACAGAAATAAATTACAGTTTTATGTATATTCACATAGAAAACAGCTGTTTTACATTCTAATAATATTTCATATTTTTTCAGTTTTTGCTATATTTTTTAATATCAAATAAATCCAGCCAAAAACATAAAAAATGGTACTGAATGAAACATGATCTGTCACTTCCTTTATCATTCCAGTGACACAAAGAGAAACATCATACATTCACTGACAAAAGAGGCTCGAGATTGAATTGGTGGTTATGTGATATTTTTAATAGCTACTCATCAATAAATTAGACCCCAACATGCCCACAGCAGTTAATTATTTCTACATCTATACATTTCTGGTTGGGGTCTAGTGAACCGAAGCTACTCATCTGACCAACCCACTGGCTGCTAGTTATTGAAATCACTTGTAGTCTCAGCACGCCGTCCTCTTCTGTCAGCGAGCTGTGTTTGTGTGTCAGTGTGATGATGGAGGACGCTCGGGATTCATTAGAAAGCCCGTCACCTCGATGTCAAGGCAATCTGCACGCTATCATGACGCTGTAATTAGCTGCGTCTGTCTGGCACATTGAGTGTTAATTACCCGCGAGCGAGAGCGGCGGGGAAACTGAGGAAATTAGGCTGCAGAGACTAAATGAATAATTCAACAACACATCTGTAAATGTACGGTTCTCTGATGCTGGTTAATGATCACATGATATGCAGGTAAACAAATAAAATATCTATATCTTTAAAAAAAAAAATTCATATTACTTATTTTAATTTTTTTAATTATTTAATTAATTGGAAACTCTAATACTCCAATACTTTTCTAATACGTCAAAAACCTCATTTAAAGGAAAAATGTTGCTCCAAAACCTGTATGAATTTCTTATTCCAGGGTTATAATAGTTCATTAAAACCAAAACCGTAAAAACATTTTTGTTACTTAGTCGAAGAAAAAAAATAAAAATCATTAAACACTTAAAAAATGTAAACTTATTTTATTTCAGTTAGTTACCAAAGCAACATTTCTCATTTCCATTTAGTATTAACCTGATGTACTACAATAAAGAAAAAATAAACAATAATAATAATAATAATTAAATTAAAATGAATAAAATTACATATTTAAAAAAATGGCAAAGCAGTCAGAATTACTGGACCTTTAACTCGCTGTAAAATTACAAAATTAAATAAACAATAAAATAATAAAAACGAATTCTAAATATTTAAAACATTGGAAATAAAATACTGAAATAATAAAAACTGTATTTAATTAATTCTATTTTAGTTAGTTGCCAAAGTATTTTTTTTTTCATTTACAGTATTAGTAACTTTATGTACTAAAATAAATAAAACTGAAATAATAAAAATAGAAAGACAAAATTACTAAAACTAACTAAAATTCAAATGAAAACATAAAAATACAAAATAATAATAATAATAAAAAAAAAATGTTAATAGTATAATCTGAAAGATTCCAAAGTAACACAAAGGAACAGAACAGAAAAGATAATGGGGTCCAATGTTGTTTAGACATAAATGTTCTTCAGTAATATCTTTATGACATGAACTCAGAACATTCGCTTCTTTTCTTTAATGCTGTGGTTGTGTTTTGATGCCATTTGGACAGTACAGAATAGCTTTAGATGGCTGTGATGAACACGAAGCGGCCCACATTCACTCTTAGCTGTTGATTGCGTTTGCCGTTTCTCGCTCACACGTCGACGGGTTGCCATGGTTTCCACAACTCCTGCAGACTCATTTGCGCTGTCAGTTTAACAGTAGTGTGAAGGAGTCGCGAGGCCCCGCCCCCTCGCCGCTCGCTCATGAATATTCATCAGGTTACCTGTGAAGGGTAAAGCAGCATCTGCTCTCCATCCGCCGCTGTCTGCCAGAACGAGAGAAGCGACTAACGAGGAAAAAGACTAATGATGGCTTTGTTCACTCCTGAATATACGGCGCTCTTCAGGGAGAAGCGCTTCATCAAATAAATAATAGCCACTAGATTTACCACAGATGCATTCATGATGTTTACCGGCATATGCTAAACAAACGTGACAGGTTTGTGCAAAGAACTTTAACATTCACCTCACAGCACGAAAACAGAAACCATGTCTCGTTTTAGTATCATTTAAATGCTATTATAGTTTTTTTTATTATTGTTAATACAATTAATTTTTGTTATAATTTTATACGTTCATACAAGGTTTCATATTTTATTCATATTGATATATTAATGTTAATAGAATTTTAAAAATTTATTTTCAGTTTGCATTTTAATTTAAATTTGTTTGGTTTTTTATAGTACCATGGTTATGTGCTTTTGTGATTTTATTAGTTTTTGTTCATTTTTTTTATTTCACTTTAGGTTTAATTAGTTTTTATTTCAGTTTGAGTTTTTCTTTATTTTCAGTTAGTAATTCTATTGCTTAAACATCTAAATTTATGTAATATTCTAATATTAATATTTTATTTTAGCTATATTTTAATTAACAAAAAAATGTATTTTGTTAGTATGAATATATAAATATTAATATAATAAAATTTTTATAGTTTCAATTTTAATTTTATTTTTAAGTTCTAGTAATTTTATGTGCTTTTGTCATTTTATTATTATTATTATTTGGCTTTAATATATTAGTATTATTTTTCAGTTTTTCTTTAATTTATTTATTTATTGTTTTGACGCTTTAACTTATTTCAGCTTGTTGCCAAGGCAAGATTTCTAATTCATTATTCATATACTTTTATAGTATTTCACTAATATGAATATATTCATATTGATATCATTTTTGAGTTCATTTTTATTGTTGTTTTTCTTTTAGCTGTAGTCATTTGATTATGTACAAATTTTGTCTTTTGTATTAGTTTTTGTTTTTTAAGTATTACTATTTGAGTTTAATTTCCAGTTTGTGCCTAAACATTAATATTTCGCTTAGCAATTCTAATTTTAAAGCTTTTCATCTAACATTTAGATTTTATTTTATTTTAGCTCTATTTCAATGAACCAAAATGTTTTAAGTAGTTTTAGTGGTTACACTTTATTTTGATAGTCCACTTTTGACATTCTACTAACTATAAGTAACTTGCAACTACATGTGTACTAACTCTCAGAGTAGACCGTTAGGTTAGGTTTAGTAGAATAAGTTGACGTAGTATGTGGACCCATCAAAATAAAGTGTTAGAAGATATTAAGCAGACAGTCTACTAATACTCTAACGACTGCTAGTTGACATGTAGTTGCAAAGTTACTTACTGTTAGTAGAACGTCTATCAAAGTAGAAGTGGACTATCAAAATAAAGTGTTACCATATGTTTTTATGGTCGTTCTGAAATGCCTGAGCAAAGTCTGTCGTCAAAGTATTTCTGTATAATTGTCTTACACGACTGCGTTCCCAAACAGCAGCATCCACCTCCGACAGCATTGACTGCTTTTTAGTAATTTATCATATGAGAAGTATGACAAGTAATTTATCATATGTGAGCCTGGAGCACAAAAGCAGTGTTAAGTCGCTGGGGGATATTTGTAGCAATAGCCAACAATACATTGTATGGGTCACAATTATACATTTCTCTTTTATGCCAAAAATCATTAGGATATTAAGATCATGTTCCATGAAGATATCTTACACGACTGCGTTCCCAAACAGCAGCATCCACCTCCGAAAGCATTGACTGCATTTTAGTAATTTATCATATGAGAAGTATGACAAGTAATTTATCATATGTGAGCCTGGAGCACAAAAGCAGTGTTAAGTCGCTGGGGGATATTTGTAGCAATAGCCAACAATACATTGTATGGGTCACAATTATACATTTCTCTTTTATGCCAAAAATCATTAGGATATTAAGATCATGTTCCATGAAGATATTTTGTACATTTCAAACCGTAAATATATCAAAACTTATTTTTTGATTAGTAATATGCATTGCTAAGAACTTCATTTGGACAACTTTAAAGATGATTTTCTCAATATTTGGATTTTTTTGCACCCTCAGATTCCAGATTTTCAAATAGTTGTATCTCAGCCAAGTATTGTCTGATCCTAACAAACCATACATCAATGGAAAAATTATTCATTCAGCTTTTCATATATAAAAATTGACCATTATGACTGGTTTTGTGCTCCAGGGCCACATATATGAAAAGTGTTACATTCAGTGGCTTCTCCTAGTTTTCTTAGTGATATTTAGTGCCAGTTTACCAGGAAGTGACGATTTTGTTCTCTTTTACTCGTTGGATGGAAACAGTGCTTTATTCGCAAATGTTTTATGCAATATTCCAGTTTAGTTCGAATCTTTGGATGGAAGCATAGCTACTGTCTCACATGTCTCTTGTAGCAGCTGGTTAAGGCGTAAAAGCTCAGATTAAGATGTGTGAGATCTGTATTTGATGTGTATTTCTGTGTGTAGCGGATCTGCTGACGGCTCCTCCGAGTACTTATTAGATACTAGTACTTATTTCTGAGATACTAGTACTTATTTTTAGATACAAGTACTTATTTTTATAAACTAGTACTTATTCATTATACACTAGTACTTATTTCTAAGATTCTAGTACTTATTAGATACTAGTACTTATTTCTGAGATACTAGTACTTATTAGACACTAGTACTTATTTCTGAGATTCTAGTACTTATTAGATACTAGTACTTATTTCTGAGATACTAGTACTTATTAGATACTAGTACTTATTTCTGAGATTCTAGTACTTATTTCTGAGAGATACTAGTACTTATTTCTGAGATACTAGTACTTATTAGATACTAGTACTTATTTCTGAGATACTAGTACTTATTAGATACTAGTACTTATTTCTAAGATTCTAGTACTTATTAGATACTAGTACTTATTTCT